ATTTTTCTACCCATTTCTATATATTTTAATGTCCTTTTTTCTTGTATTTTTTCACTGACGCATATTTTTTTCCTTTTCTACCCATATTAAACTTTAACTATTCAACCATTTTTATCTATATATCTTTGCTCGCATAAATTATATTTTAATAGTATGTTAGAATTTAGTTTACTGACACTTTCAAATTTAAATAATTTTTGGTGGATATAGGTGCGTATTTTTATCAATATATGTGTGTATATGTACGTGTCTTTATCAAAGTATGTGTGTATAATCGCTTAGTATTTATCAATCCACCCACGAGGATAGAATGTGGCACAAGGCCGGTTTAATGTGGGTATCTCCGAGCCCGTAGGCTCGGCCAAAAATATAGCCTTTGAACCCGCCTAGACGGGTTCAGGCCCTGTCTACCTCCCCGGAAAAACCCTTGCCCTTCGGCAAAGCTTCTTCCGGGTTCCTCTCTGCTAATGCAGAGAGTTCGACAGACGCCGACTCGGAAGCTCACAAAGGCAGCGTACTACACTTTGATCATTGCCCCCGGGCCGAGCAGCTTTATAATTGTGTATAATCGCTTATATGTGCCTTTCATTGTATGTATATATTGTGGTTTTTTTTAAAGGTCGTGGACACCTATTTCCTGTCTCGTCGCTTTTTTGTGTGTTTATATATCTAAATATGTCTACATGTTTGTGTATTATAATCTGATTGTGTATGTATTGTCTTTGGCAAGATTTCACCCTCCCATGCCCATATCATCACTTCAAATGGATCTAAGTTGTAACGAAGCTCAGAGCAACATTAGATTTTAATGTTTTTTCCAGCTTAATTTTCGGCCTTTCAATAAAAACAAGATAAATAACAAAACATATGTATTTTTTCCTCAGTTTCTCCTTTGAATAATTTTAGAATTTTTTAAAACTTAATATCGATTAAATTTAAAATTGGTAATTTTTAATTTTTAATTTTATAGTATAATTTAATATTAATTAATTGCAATGAATTCTATTTTAGTCTAACCCTAATATTAAAGCATTAAATAATTATTATAACCAAAGTTCGTTATTATGTTTTTTGAATTCTCGTATACTTGTATTTTGATTGGTCATTCCAGTTTATGTAACAGCGTTTCCCCTAGCGAGGGGTGTTTGATTGATTTGAACCTTTTGAAACCCTTTATTATACATTCAACACCATCTCTTGATAAGACACCAGAAATGTTGAAACAAAATGGCTATTTTTGTAGTGATTTTATAACATATTTATGTTATAATTTTCGAATAAATAACTATATATATATATATATATATATATATATATATATATATATATATATATAAAATATTTCAGTCTTTTAATCTATCTATCTCTCTAGCTATCTATATACTGCATATCTATTTCAGTATGTTCGTTATCTATATATCTATCTCAGGCTATCTAACGAGCTCTGTTTTCTCTCTCTCTCTCTCTATATATATATATATATATATATATTTTTTCTCTCTCTCTCTCTCTCTCTATATATATATATATATATATATATATATATATATATATATATATATATATATATATATACACATATAAATCGTTTCATCTCTTTCGCTCGGTTTATCTATCTACCTATTTCAGTTCATTATCTATCTATCTCTGTCTATATCTAAGTAGCTCTCTCTCTCCCCTCTCTCTCTCTCTATATATATATATATATATATATATATATATATATATTATCTTTTCATCTATCTGTCTCAGTCTCTTCATTATCTATCTATCTATCTATCTATCTATCTATCTATCTATCTATTACAGTCTGTTCATCTCAGGCTGTCGATATCTAAGTAGAGCTCTCTCTTTGTCTCTCTCTATCTATCTCTCTCTATATATACATATCAGTCTTTTCATCTATCTATCTATCTATCTATCTATCTATCTATCTATCTATCTATCTATCTATCTAATCTGTCCAAAACTATCTAGCCCTCTATCTCAGTCGGTTCATATCTATGTGAGTTTGTTCTTTTCTATCTATCTATCTATCTATCTATCTATCTATCTATCTATCTATCTATATATATATATATATATATATATATATATATAATAGCCTGCTTTTCTGCAGCTTACTGCGAATTCATTTTCACATATATTGTTCGATCCATCCTTTGGTTCTGGAAGCTAAAAAGAATAAAAGTCCCGTGTATCCGGAACCCGTCTTCCACTCAGCACTTGCAAATTGTATTAAGACAGAGAGGAGGTTTGTGAAAGAGAGATTGCTAAATAGATAGAATAAGACCGATTGAGAAAGAGAAAGAATACATTAGATAGTGAGAGCAATCGTTTGCGAGAAGGGAAGAGAGTAGGTTAAAAGTAGGAATGAAAGCGAGAACGTTGGAAAGACAGTGTGTGTGAAAGACAACGAAAAAGGAAAAGGAAAAGGAAACTTTAGTGAGAGAGTGAGAGAGTGAGAGAAAGCGTTTGAGAGCGTGAGAATGAAAGAGAAAATTAAAAAGAAAGAAAGAAAGAAAGAAAGAAACATAGTGAGAGGTTGCATTCGAAAGTGAGTGTTAGAGAGAATGAGAAACAGAAAATGGAACGTTAGATAGAAATAACCTGGGAGAGAATTCGAGAAAAAGTCAGTGAGAGAGAAAGGAAGCGATAGAGAAGGTTAGAAATAGAATGGAGAAGTTGGAAGAGAGACTAAAAGGGGGGGGCGTTAGAAATAAAGAAAGAGAATTCATAGAGAAGGTGAATGAGGGTGAGAAAGCAAAAAAAAGGATAGACGAAAAGATAGAGCATTATTGAGAGAGTGAAAGAGAAAGGAAAACACACACACATAGATATATATATAGAGAGAGAGTGAGAATGAGAGAGAGAGAGAGTTAGAGATTTTGAAAGAGAGAGGGAGGGCAGTTCTTATCTATCAAGCCGTATATTTCACCAATCTCTCAAGCTGACTACTTGTCGGCATGAATTCACTCGATTGCCTCACTCCCTGCCAAAACGTTCTTCTCTCTCAACGCTTCAGCTTAACTCGCTCACCCTCGCTCATTCCTGCGCCTGATCTCTCACTCACTCTCTTTGTCGGCCAAGTTTTTAACGAATGCTTGTTTTCTTTTCCAACGTCTCTCGCTACATTTCAATCGGTGAAAGAACGACACCTATGGTCGGAAAAAAAGACAATGTCGTAGTCGCTAAAATTATACTGTCTCCACACACACACATACACACACACACAGAAAACACACATGCTCGAATCTGACTGCGATGAGAGAGAGAGAGATGTGTCGGTTTTATTAGTAAAAGCCGCGATGATATTAAACTAGAAAAGAGAAAGAAAACGAGAGAGAGAGAGAGAGAGAGAAAGAGAGAGTAAAAAATGCAAACAAAACGTCGCTAGGATAAAGGATGATCAAGGAAACGTAACCTATTACTAGCGTTAAAAAGAACCGAAGAAGAGAAAGACGGCGAGGCAGTACGAAAATAATAATAATAATAATAATAATAATAATAATAAGTAAAACAAAATCTCAAAAGTAAGAGAGACTGCGGTAAAAGAAAGAGAAAGATAAGTTTATGAGTAAAAAAGAAAAAACCTATTAAATAAAAAGGACACGAAAAAAAGAAAGAAAAGAAAAATGGAGAGAAATATTTCTCAAAAATAAATAAAAAAAAACACTATGTAAAACGTATACTTAAAAATGTATATATACACATATACAAGTTATGTGTCTATATGTTAAACAAAGCGTTTAACATCGAAAAAAAATGTTATTTTCCAAAACAAAAATTTCAAGAACTCATTAAAACCTGTAGTTTTAATCCAAAATATTGATGAGAACCAATTAAAAAAAAACAAAACAAACAATTCTACAAATTGTTTGAGAAACAAGAAAGAAAGAAAGCAACAAATAATGAAGACTTTTTTTTTTTTTTTTTTTACAAACAATCAATACTTGAACTCACGCATAAAAGAAACTAACTGGGTAAAATGGATTTATGGCAACAAGTAAAGCTACTGTTACAAAATAGCACCAGTCCTACACCATACAAAGGTAAACCGTGAAAATAAAATTTATTCTTCATCAACCACAGACGGATTTGAACAAAAACAACGCAACGATACATCAACAATTGTTTGGTTTGATTTTTTTAAGTTTAAAAAAAAAAAATCCAATTTGTTATACGACAAAGATAATTACTGGGAAAGGATTTTAACACGACAGTAAGTATCCTGGAGCATTATTTGCAAACATATAACACAAACAAGCATTTATATATATGCATGCATACGTTGTACTTACATACAGAAATTGATGTTGATTTAATTAAATGCCACGAATGATGAAGATATGTTTTACAATTTGATATAAATAAGCATGTCGGGGAGAAATTTGCTATATGAGAAAACATCGACAAACTTTAATTATATTAGATTGCATTTCTACGAGAAAAAAACCCAATATGTGTCATTGTGTCAATTAACGTATTCAAAAGTGTGTCTCTAAATGAAAAAGCATATATATATATATATATATATACGTGCATGAATAACTTTTTATTTTTATATATATGAAACAAAACAGTATTGTATATAAAAATATATACACATGTTATTATATATATATATATACACACCAAATGTTTTATATATGTGTGTGTGTGTGTGTGTGTGTGTGTGTGTGTGTGTGTGTGTGTGTGTGTGTACATTTCTAAATATATTCCTGGTGATTCAGATTCTGACAGTTAAAATGGTTCTGTTTCGCCGGTGAGCCTCTGTAGCAAACTTTATATATATATATATATATATATATATATATATATATATATATATATATATATATATATATATATATATATATATATATATAGTTAGTTAGTTAGTTTGTTAGTTGACGTTTTTCCATGCCAGCAGTAAATAGAGAAATGAAGTTTTACACACATTTATATATTGCATACTTATTCCTTCAAACGCTATTTTTAGGGAATATCTGTTTAAAATTGAAGCCTCATTGTTCATATTTTATTATTTTAAACAATGCCTCAGAGAATATTTTCTCAATGGCGATAGTTGTAATACTGTTTAAAATAAAATAAAAAAAAAATACTGGACGTCTTTTCTCAACATGAGTATCCCCCCTCCCCCCCCGGAAAAATAAAGTTAGGAATGAAATAAATGTCGAATGAAAAGGAAATCCTTAAGATGCCATATTTTCCCATTCTGCCGACATGGAAATAATCAAATACCATATATATATATATATATATATATGTGTGTGTGTGTATATATATATATATATATTTGTGTGTGTCTTGAGTGTATGTCTTACATCTTCAGAATGTTGCTTGAATATCAGTTCAGAGTTGAAATTGACTGTCACCGCACCGTGTTGATTCCTGTCCACAATCTATCTACAAATTTCTATTTCATATAATGAGCACTCTTCCTCATAAATACAGCAAAATTTAAACAGTCCGTACATACATACACACATATGCATTTATTTATGTGTGTGTGTGTGTGTGTGTGTGTGTGTGTGTGTGTGTGTGTGTGTATATTGTGTAGATATAAAAACTTCGCCCTTGAAGGTACTAAATTTCGCCTCGCCTGACCGAACGGTAACTTCTTCTACCCCTCAGGGTCGTAGGTTCAAATCCTCCCGGAGCGTGAATTTTTTTTTCTTTTAATAAGATTTCTCGACCATTCAAGCCGGCAAACGAAAATATATATATATATATATATATATATATATATATATATATATATATATATATATATATATATATATATATATATATATATATATATATATATATATATAATAAAGAAAATCGCAGTAAACTTTTGCATTTTGGCTCCTCAAGCTTCAACTGCTCGCACCCAGAAGATGGCCCACGCAGCATGCTTTCGAAAACTTACACATTTTACTTTTTACGTTATTTTGGGACCCAGAAACCCGGAGGACAAAAGTTTACTCTCCATGAATTTTTGTTTTTTTTCGCTCTTTCTCTCTCTCTCTTTAATTCGACCTTATATCACGCTGTTTTATTTAGGCAGTGAAATGCTATGATATATTATTTTCCACAAGTTTTTAAATTTTCGGAAACATTTCCTTACTTTGGTATTTTAAACAGAAGTCAGTAAAATCACTAAGACTTATCGTGTCAAGACACAATGTCGCTTTAACCTAAAAAAAAAAAGAAAACTGATGTGTGCATGGTGTAATGGATAAGGGCTTGGGAATCACGTTCGAATTATGTTCGGGTTCGTTGCGTTTATTTACACGTAGGTATTCTTCGGAAAAGGTACAAATCTATTTCTTCTTCTCAGCTATGGGTTAAATAATACGATTTGTATCTGGAAAAATCAGCGACTGTCTAAAAAAAATTATTGCAATATTCACTCGCTAAAAAATCATTTATTCTTAAAATCCAGAATAGGTTTCGGCTTTAAATAGCCCACATCGGGTTGATAAATCGTAAATAAACAAATCAAACGGAAAAGCAGTTAATTTTTTTTATACCTAAGAGTGCATTAAAAATCTTCACAATGAGAAACACCTAATTACAATAAATTATTTAGTGTACATTTCTGTAGAAATCACTTAGGTCGCAAGCAAACATATGTCTCCATATTTAAGGTGCTTTTAATAGTCTCAGGAATATTCCGGACCATGCTGAACTTTGAAAATAATTTAATATTGAAATAATGTTTCTTCGAAATAACCTTTAACACGACAAATATTCATGTTATTAACAAAACAAATATAGATATTTAGACAACAGACACACAAAGACATACACACACACACATACATATGGGTTTTTCACAACTTTTACACACACAATATATATATATATATATATATATATATATATATATATATATATCAAGTATCAGCTTGTGTTATTGTAAAAGTCTTACATAAACTCATATTTATATATATATATATATATATATATATCAAGTATATATATATCAAGTATGATTTTGTGTAAGATTGTGTGTGTGCAAAAGTATTACACAAACACACACATATATGGGTCCCTCGCATCTTTTATACACACACACACACAATATTACACAAACTCATACTTGATATA